ACCAGATTAAGATGAAAGAACTAAAACTACTCTAGCAAACTACAGTTAAAGTTAATCTAATTACAGGTTGGGAACTCACTTAGGTATGATTCCCCCTAGCCACTAGCCGGATTAATCATTAATGATCTCTTAACTGTTTCACTTTCATTCACAATGCGGAGAATCCTTAACTAGACCTTGAGTCTCGACTAAAGGAACAAGGCCCTCTTGAGTCAATTGCCTAGAGGGACGTATCCTTCTCTAGAACAACCGATCAAGGCGTTCTGAACTAGACTCCCTCTATCGAAAGAGGTTCTCAATCGATACAAAGCAATGAATCAACCCTCGACTAAAGCAGTCGATCCAATACTATCAATCTATGGTGCTCTATTGACCTAATCAGGTATTTGCTCTCATAGGATCAAAGCAGAATCAATAATCTCGACTAAAGCAGAATTGAATCATGAAAACATGCATAGATTGAATATGAACTCAAGATTATCAAGTCAGAGTACTCATACAATCATCCAATCAAACAAACATAGCTAGGGTTCCTCAAAACCTAAGTGAAGGGAAGTTACTCCATAGAGAAGAGAGAGACTGCAGTAAGAATCTTCAGATGATCAGTCTTCAAGTCCGGGCTTGTTCCTCGAGCTTCCAAGGCGATGAAATCCTCCAATTCCACTCCAAGAATGCCCTTAAATCGCCCTCTCTTTCTTTGGTTCGTCCCTTGGGTGTTTGGGATCCAAAACCCAGCTCTCTCTCTCCTTTGGCTCAAATTTGGGTTAAAAAACCCGATTCTGGGCAAAACACGGTCGCGGGCACGGCCGTGCTTTGGTTTTGCCCGCCCGTGTTTTGCCCCCGTGTTAAAAACACGGCCGGGCGCGTTGGCCAAAACACGGTCATGCCTAAATATGGGCACGGCCGTGTTTTGATTTAGGCGCGCCCGTGTTTTTACTGCCGAACCTGTTCCCCTATATTCAATGCTTCGTTTCTCCCTCGTACGGACTCCGAATCAGTCGCCGTTTGATCCTAGACGCTCGTAGTCTCGTCCTCTTTCTTTTCATGACAAGCTTGCATGATTCTTTTTCCATAAAAGGAGTTAGAAATCCATTCTTCTTCAGGTCATGCCCGAGTTTCTGCTCCCGAATCGCCAATTGATCTCTGATTGACTTGAAACTTGCGCCTATGCTTCACTTTATGTGCTAGGACCTGAAATATGACAAAGGAACACACCCTAGTGTAAAATAGGCCAAAGATGTGATAATTAAAGCTCAAACAATCAAGAAACACAGGGGAAAACATGTGCAAATATCGAGTCATCACCATGCGCTACATTGAATGGGATACTGCACTTTGTCAAGAACACTCTGCTCTTCTTCGTAATCATACCAGGGACCTTGTTCCCCAGCAACCTCATTTCAATGTTCTTGGCAACCGCTGGGTCTACCGCATTAAGCATCATTCTGATGGCTCTATCAATCTATTCAAATGTCGCCTTGTTGCCAAAGGTTTTCATCAGCAGTCTGGTATGGATTTCAAGGATACTTTCAGCCCGGTGGTCAAACTTGTTACGATTTGTACGATTTTCTCCATTGCTCTTTCTTAGAATTGGGCTATTAAGCAGTTCGATATCAACAACGCCTTTCTTCAAGGGGCGCTTGACGATGAGGTATACATGGAACAACCTCCTGGCTTCATTGATTCTACATATCCTAACCATGTTTTCTGCCTCTGTCATGCTATCTATGGTTTACGCCAGGCCCCACGGGCGTGATACACTGCTCTCGGCTCCTTTCTCCTCACTTTTGGCTTCCGGAAGACCGAGTCTGCTGCATCCCTCTTTGTTTATCATCACTCGGGCATTGTCCCCCATTTTCTGGTCTATGTCGACGATCTTTTGGTCACGGGGACTGATGCTGCCACTCTCTCTTCCTTTCAACTTGCTCTGGCGAGTAAGTTCTCTCTCAATGAACTTGGTGACGTGAATTACTTTCTCGGCATTGAGGTTATTCCTACGGCCACTGGTTATATTCTCTCTCAACACAAGTATATGACAGATGTCCTCTCTCGCTTCCATATTTTGGACGCGGCCCTGGTCTCTACACCGCTTGCCTCCACTGTTTCTCTGTCACTACATGATGGCACCTCTCCTACTGATGCTACCCGCTTTCCCCAAGTTCTAGGTGCCCTTCAGTATCTTGTCTACATGCGTCCTGACATCGCCTATATTGTCAACAACCTCTCGCAGTACATGCATTCCCCATCCTCTCATCATTGGCAATGCCTCAAACGTTTACTCCGCTATGTTTGTGGTACCATCTCCTACGGTCTGGCTATTCGATGTTCTTCTCTTCCTATGCGAGTCACGGCGTTTGCGGATTCTGATTGGGAAGGCAACCTCGATGATCGCAGATCCACTTCAGCCTATCTGGTTTACTTGGGCTCCACTCTTATTTCTTGACGTTCTCAGAAACAACGAACGGTGGCTCGCTCCAGTACAGAGGCGAAATATCGTGCCATTACCCATGCCGCCTCTGAGTTGGAATGGGTTCACAATCTTTTGACAGAACTTCATCAACCACTCTCTGAGTCTCCCATGCTCCTGTCTGACAATCTCGGTGTCACTTGCTTCAGTGCCAATCTGTTGTTCCTCTCCCGTATGAAGCATTTGGCTCTTGACTACCATTTCGTACGCCAACTAGTCCATGTCGGCCGTCTATGTGTTCGCTATGTCCCGACTGCACAGCAGCTCGCTGACATGCTCACCAAGCCTCTCCCAGCCTCCCGGTTTCTTCTTCTTCGATCCAAGATTGGAGTCGTTCACACCTCCTCCATCTTGCGGGGGCGTATTAGAGGAAAAGAAGAAAAAGAATAACAATTCTTTTTATCCTTTATTTTCTGTCCTTATTATTCTCCCACGTCTCCTGTACATTGTCCCTCATTTTTGTACACTATCCCTCAATCTCTCAACTTACTCTCATGTAATCGTGTATAAAACAAAACTGAATATACATAAGAAAATCACATTGGATTGCTCTTTGATTCTCTTCACAACAAATTCTCTTTCTCAACAATAAGATCCAGCATAATCGTCTCCCAACAACTCGAGTTATTGGCACCAACTGTTAAATGCAGACCACCAATCTATTAAAATTTAAAACAAACCAGAAACCTCACAAAGCAAACCACAATTTTTGAAACAAACCAGAAACTTTTTAATGCAAACCACAAACACAATAAAGCATACCATAAAAGACATACCAAAAATTTGAGAAAGAAAATCATAAATCTCACAGTGCATACCATAATATCCGGTGATTGCTAACTGTTGAGAAAACTCCGACGATCGTTGATGACCGAATTTCGGCACCAATAAGCATATTTTCTGCGCCCGATGACTAGATTCTAACACCGATAAGCATATTCCGATCACAATGATCAGATTGTGACGACGTGAGCATTTTCAGAACACGGTCGGCGACAAAAAATAGGACAGAAAATAAAATATATATTTATAATTATTTAATATTGTCATCATTAATTTAATATTTTTTATTATTGTTTAAACATAATATTATAATGACGACCACTCCGGCGAGCAACGCCGCCACGAATAGAGGTCTCCGCTTCCTCTGGGGAACTCATCCATGTTCTCAGCTTCCGCGAGCAGACTCCGTTGGCAAGGATCGACAACAATGGCCGAGGGGAATTTGGGGCACCGGATTAGGCGATTGTTTTTGGAGCCCCCAATCTTCAGAGAATGGTCCGGCTCCACGGCTCTGATGGGCTGACTTGAGTCTCCCACTACCCATATCTTCAAAATCAATGTTGTAGGTCCTCCTACTCCTATTGTGTCATAATAACCAATCGATTGGAACAGTTGTTCTTCCTTTTCTATCTCCTGGGTTTTTGTTACTTCTACGACTGGGGTTCAATTCCTGGGTTTTTGTTACTTCCCCACCGAGAGGAAAGGTCTTGGAATCAGATCCCTCCCATGCTCTTCCAATCGACGAATTAAAGAGAGCGGAGGAAGATTCCCTCGCTGCCGTTGCTTTTCGATTCGCCGCCCGCCTCCTTGCCACTGCATTCGGAGGAGGAGACCACCCGCGTTTGCTCTACGATTCACCGACGCACATTCCCCTTGAAGGAGACAGAGGAAGACAAAAAAAATAATATGATAAATTATATAGAAAAAATAAGTGAAATGATGAGGTGGAAAGAAAAAAAAATTAATTTCCACGTCATCTAGTTAACGGTCAAACTTTATAGTTGACTGCCACGTAGGACAAACTTAACGGAGTGTAACGGCCGGTGACCAACCGTGAAACTATTCGTAAAGTTAGTTGCGAATAAGAAAGAAAAGTAATTCGGGTGGCAAACGTGAAAGATTTGTATAATTTGAGTGACCAAACGTGTAATTTAGCCACTGTTAGTATGTTTTGTAATGTTTGTCGGACTAGTTTGTATTAATGTTTGCATAGTTCGTATTTTTCGTATTGTTTGTAAATATGTTTGTACGATTTGTCGCTCTAGTTTGTATTGTTCGTATGTTTGTATGGTGTGTATTGTTTGTAAGTCCGGTATGTATACTTCGTAATTTTTCATTATAGCCAAACTATCATTGTCATTTATTAAAAAGCTCTTCCCACTTATTAACCGTCAGATTGATGTGTCCAGATCTAAGGGTTGGAAGAAGCTTAGTCAATTGACTAAGCAGCCTCTTAGTCACATGATTCGGTCCCTAGTTAGGGTAGTATGATAGATAATATCGAGTCATTTGACTCATTGTGGATATATAGTGCCATCAATTATCAATAAATACAATATTTTGTCAAGAATGATAACTATTTCACCATAATTTTTTATGGTATATTTCATCAATATTTTTTTCCAATATTTTAATTTGAGAATCTACTTGTATTTGAAATGTATCCTTTATAAGCAAAAGAAGAAAATTGAAAGCAAGCTTCACATGCGAATGAAAGGGCACTAACTTTATATAAGAGAGAAAGCGTTGCCTTTGTCTCAGTCTCTCAGACCTCTCTCTCTCTCTCTCTCCTTCCGAAAGTTACATGACTACTTAATGATTAGCAGCCTTTGAAGAATTTGCCGGTCACTACTCTGCTTCCTCTTGAGCTATTTCCCCCTCCATTCCAGCCGAAACCAATAAGAAACAAAGTCGGGCAAAACATAACAACTCGTTTCTTCTCTAATCTGCTCAAAAATTTCCCATTTCTCTGCATTCTCTCTGCTCTCTCGGAGTCTCCCAATGGCTGCTTTCGTCTCTCTCTCTTCCTTGGAAGGTACTAACTGACAAGCATCTCCCATCTCCTGAAACATTAAATTCATCTCTTTCACTCTAATAAAAAGAAAATGATGTCTCCAGTTGATGATGAGAAGCCCAGAAAATCCAAGATGGCGGGATACAGCCAAGAGTTCCAGGCAATGCTGGACAGCCTGGACGAAGAAGACACTCGCGACGAAGAATTAGAAGAAGCTGCTGGAAGCTGCCATGGCGCTGTAGAGAAGAAAAGAAGGCTGAATATGGGACAAGTCAAAGCTCTGGAGAAGAACTTCGAAGTCGACAATAAACTGGAGCCAGAGAGGAAAGTGAAACTCGCTGAGGAACTAGGGCTGCAGCCGCGGCAGGTGGCGATTTGGTTCCAGAACCGACGGGCCCGCTGGAAGACCAAGCAGCTCGAGAGAGACTACTGTGGGCTTAAATCCAGTTACGATTCTCTTAAGCTCGATTTCAAGAACCTCCAGCAAGAGAACCGTACCCTTTCCCTCAGAGTAAAGCTTTCACCTTTTTGTTTAGAACAAAATTACATGTGTAGAAACAACAAACTGATGCGCCTTTATTCTTCTGTGCGTGGGCAGGTGAAGGAATTGAAAACGAAGCTGGAGGGAGAAGAGAGAGCAGAGAGCAGGGAGTATGTGAAAGAAGAATGCCCTGTTGTTTCGGAGTCAGAGATGCAGAGTCAGAGCCTTGATTTCAGCGAAGACAACAACAATGGCGGCAACGGTAGTTGGGTCAGATTCCAAACCCACAACGACGTTAGCAATATTCACTCTCCAGCATTGATGAACTGGATTCAGTTCTCGGATTCCAGAAACCAAAACCATTGTTACGGCCACGACCATGCGGCGAAACTGGAAGAACAGAGTAGCAGTAGTACTCTGTTTTCAGCAGCAGAGGAATCCTGCAATTTCTTTTCGGTACTGGATCAAGCTCCTACCTTTCCATGGTTCTGAAAGCAAAGAGAGGAGTCAATTTCTAGGAAAAGTTAGTATCTTCGTTGAAACTGGTTAGGGTTTTCTCCTCAAGAGGAATATCTGAAGTGGTGGTGGGAACCAGTTAATGTTTCTTTTTCCTTGTTTGTGTTCAGTTCTTGGCCAGTGGGGAAATTATGATAGCCGAAAAGTTTATCGAAAGAAAGTAGGGATCTGATCTCGGTGCTCTTGACTTGATATCATCTGCTGGCAAGTGATTATTTGTGCTACGGGGAACCAAAATTCCCGACGGTGGGGGACTGGCGACTGGAGATTGTAGACTCCCCAAATGTAGAAACTTTGCATTTATTTTCGAATCATAAATGAAGAAGACGAGTTAGATAAGAGCAGTGCAAACACCCATCACATTGTAGCTATAGAGAGGCCAATTGTCTCTGTCTTGACCCTGATTCCCATGCGGTTCTCGATTAATGTTATGATTGGTTGCTTTCGCTTGTTTGTTAGGAGAGCCCATGTGATGTCGTTGGATCAACATCGTGGATTCCCGATGACTGAAGTTGATACGGTGATCCAATGACTTTCTCCATGTTAATCCAGTGGTAACAAATGTTATAAAGGGAGCGCGATATGCAAGTCGCCACATGCCAATTGGTTCCCGACCATTAAATTAAATTGATAATACGTAATGACATTTTGTAAACAACATAATTGCGCCGAAGAGATCATTATCAACACACAAAAGAATAATCAGTATGTCACCATGTGTTGATTATCTCTGCATAAACATGATACCCGCACTCAATATGATATGATGAATTTTCTTGTTTCATTTTATTGATTTTTCTTCAAAACGAAATATTTGTGTCACTAAATTTAATTTCATGAACACAAACTCTTTTCTTTTTATTTTTATTTTGTTAAGAAACAAGAAAGAAAGATTAGCAGCTGGATCTTATGCTATATGTTGCTTGTGTTAGGAAAATGTTGAGCTATAGGGTTTCAGTGGCAGAGCACCCATTCAAACCCATGTGGTTGGTAAAACTGTAGGTCCTGACTCCAGCCCACAAATTATATTCAAAATGCCCAAAGAAGAAGACTATTGGCTCCTTATTGTTTACAAGTCCCCATGATTTCTCTCACCGGTACCAAACTCCCTCCTCTCTATAAGTCTACACAAGAGAGAGGGAACACCAAGAAGTTTAATTCTGCCCTAAAATTGTAGGCCATGCCCCCTATCAATTGAAGCAAGCAGCAAACATTTCTGCCCACCTTCTCGACCAAACTCTAATTTAATGTGAAAGGAACAAGGCGGGAACTATGCCAGTCTCCTTATAGCCCTTTGGTATTCAACCACCTCCTGGTAAAGGGTTATCCATTTGCTGCGTAACAAATAATCGAATCGGAATTAGTAGTTAACGGGTACATTGATAATTGATTAAACAGTAAAATGCCAATTTTTCTAGTCAAATTTAACTAATTACTAATCGACGGCTAAACGATTGGTAACCGACTAACAGATTACGACCAGCCTCATAGTTAGAGACGAAAATAATAGGATGTTTGAAGGCCTACAAGATCCCTTGCCTACTCTAGTTGTAATAATGACTAGATTCAAAGATAATAATTTCAAGGAACGACTTTAGAAGGAGCACATTAGAAAGTTGAACTTGCGTACGGTAGCTCGACAACAATCAATAACATTTAAACTTCCATGTAATTTGATGGGGTTTAGGAGTTGAGTAATTGGTGTTGGTCCTCTTATTCTTATCTGCTTCTTTAATCAAATTTCACGGTAGAATAGTGTTATTGTGTACTTGTGTTGGATTGAGTTGATTATGAATTGATATCTGTGTTAAATAATTTTTTATTCAATGCTAACCGCTTACAAAAAGAACACATACGAATTTAGGAAAAAATTTCAAAAATGAACAATTGAAAAAAGGAGGAGGTCTTATGTTGATTAGGGTACCAATCGATGATTTTGGTATAACCTTGCCGAATGACTTGCTTAACAGGTATTCGGTTAACCGAGAACCAACTATACAATTTCATTTAACCAATTAATATAAATAGTGTGATTGATGATAAGCACATAGTAATTAAAGGTTAACCCAGAACCGACTATACTGTTTCGATTATACCCAAACCGATTGCCAGTCTTGCGAAGTAGTTTACCAAAAGAGAGAGGAGGGTAAAGAAGATCTTGGTTGGTTGGGGATCATGATTCATGAACATAACAAACTGACCCTAAAAACGTGGAGGTGGAGGTGGAGGAGACACCATGCAAGTTACTTTCTCATTTATCTTCTCTGATCTAATACTAAATTGCACCCAAAATTCACGGGTTCTTCTAGTAAACAGTTGAAAAAAAAGGCATGAGAGGTGTTCTCTCCTCTCTCCTTGTTCTGTTCTCCTTGTTTGGCCAATGGCTAAAGAGGATGATTGTTTCCCTACTCGCTACCAGTTTGGAAAACCAAGAGGCGAACTGGAATCGATCCATGAAAAGTGATCGTCTTCGCAAAATGGGATGGACAATAATCACAAACCATCACAGGGAGGATAAAAAACACCTCACGACCATAGTTCCTGATCCAAAACGAGATCTTCGTGAGGTGTGTCGTAGACCTGGTTGCTGGATCAGACGCGAAAGAAAAAGAAAGCATATGACTGCTTTTGAAGAGCTTGAGCTCACATATGAAAACCCATCTAAAAGATGTAGGCATTTGCCATTGAAAGGGTGGAGATTCTGGCTCCCCCCCCCCCCCCCCCCCCTCTCGCCAGAATTGGAGTGTGATGATTCTACTTTGGAATAGTTCTCTAAAACTGGTACTCACAACCAAAATTTCAAAGTTGATAAAGTTAACAAACGAGGTTGTTTTGCTCGCGATCGACCCTTAGGGGATGAAGATCATACTATGTCGCTTGTATGTTGGTTGGTGTCTTTAACGAAAAACCCTTGTCACCCTAGCGTCGTCGGCGACCAGCTGGTCTTGAACTCTTCCGTCGCCGACGTCCACCCCCTTCAGATGGGGCCGTCGCTAAGGTGTTGTTGGAAAAGGATTCTATCATGATCTTCTGCGTATGCTGAGCGGATTTTTGAGGTTCCATATCCGATTCAAAAATCATAATTTGTAATCCCAACGGTGGTGTCCTAGTTATGACCCAACTCTAAGAGATGGGATTAACAGGAGAAATACATGTCTCTTTACGGGTTTGTCTACTTCTCTCGCCTATAAAATTACTAACCCTCTTTTAAACACTCTCTCACGAAGCGATTGGCAAGAAGTGTTCTTAGAGGAGGCGAGTCTAGCAAAACTCCGGCAACAGCAATGTGCTATCAAGCTCTCTCCAGGTATTGAGACTATTCCCCAAAGCTCTGTCCCCTGCTCTTGCTCGATAGCCAGAACTGCTATTGTAGAATCAAATCAAGTTCCTCCCTCCCACTACTCACATACATCATACCCAAAGGGAGGGCCGAACGGGGACATACAACGTGAAATACATAATACGTTGTCTCCCTCTTCTTTTCAGGTGCACACGATGACTCACATCGCGAACGACCAGGTGGTACTGATAACGTTGTATTTGCACATGTGTTTACCCTTGTTTTTTATCCGTTTTGGCTCGTAGTCGTGTGTCTTTGGCCTATTTTACGTTGGGTTGCGTTCTTTTGTCACATTTCAGGTCCCAGACATCAAAGGAAGGTCTAGGCACGAGTTTCGGGTCGTTTGGAGGTCATTCGGTGAAGCTGGAGAAAAACACGGGCAACCTCACTCAAGAACACAGTCGTGGTCATTGAGGAGCAAGCCAGCTTTTTAGTGCGCAGGTCGAGACGATGCAAGGGAAAAACACGGGTGCCATTGCCCCAAAGCATGACCGTGTTCCGCGCCAGTGTTTTTAAATTCGAGAGCTGATGTATGATTGCTGTTGAAGAATGCAAAACACAGGCGGTCATGGCTGGAACACAGTCGTGTCCCTTATTTAGGCACGACCGTGTTATCCATGGAAAGGGGCGTGTTTTCCCACGTGATTTTGCAGAACACGGGCGGGATGAGAAGGACACGGTCGTGTCCACACCCTTATTTTGTCGATCTCGGGTTAAACTAAAAAGGAGAATCGAATTTTCAGAGCAAAGAACAGAGTTCTAGAGAGAGAAAGGGCGAAGAACAAACCCTAGGATCGATTTTGGAGCTGGGTTTCATCAATCAAGCTTGGATTTTTGCCTTGGAGTGAAGATTATCATCCCAGAGCTTATCATATACATCATTATGAGTATGATTCCTCTTATTGTTGGTTTCTACTCTCTCTCTCTATGACTTAGATCTTTCTCTCACTTGGGTATGAAGAACCCTAGTTTTATGTTTTAGGGATTTGAGTTGTAATGACTTTTGGATTGAAGTGTATTTATTGAGTCAATTGAATCCTGATCAACTTCTTTTGTTTTATGTTGCAACCTGAGATAGATAGAATCTGATTAGGTTGTTAGAGCTTCTTCAATCTATAGGAGTGAATTGATTATACGAGAGTTAGTCAATTCACTGATTTGCACTGGAATCTGTTTCTAGTAGTGGAGTTCTGTGTTAATTGCCTTAGCATTCTATCCCGGTGAAGACTAGTAGTCTGCCAGTTAGTCTCTAAAAGGGCTTGGTCAGCTTAAGAGATTCCATGCTACTGTCGGATCTTCCGCAGTTTAATAAACACTGAATCAACCAAATGAAATTACAACTTGGACCTAACTAAGGAGCTAGGGGGACTCAATCCCGAGTAACTCTTCCCCTGCTTAAGAACTTCGAACAATTTACTGTTTTCTTTCTATTTAGTTTGAATTCACCTTCACTCACTTAGTCCCACTAGATAATAGAAGTTCACGGAGTAGGCAGTAGATCTAGACCCCAGGTTGATAAATTAAACTTAACCACTATTCTGCATTTCCAGACTGTGATTATACTTTGTCGTAGTTTGGTGTTGTGTAGTAGCATGTCATGTACAATTTTTGCTTGAAGAGGTTCAATCGGTGAAATTTTGAACTTCCCGCACATTATTGGGAAGGCTATTCACCGATACCATAATCACACCCATGGAGCTCAAGGATGCTTTACTCGCTCCTTGGCAAGTGAAGGGACAACTCCGGGCGTCTATGACAAAACATGGCCTATTCAAAATCATTCTGCCCAGTGTCAAGGCAAGTGTATGGGCCCTAAAACGAACCCTGTGGGTTGTCATGGACAAAATCCTCCATCTCCGGTTCTAGTCACCCACAATCACAAAACATACCTTTGATGATTTGGCCATTGCTCCATTTTGAGTCCAGCTCTGGAACGTGAAAGAGGATTGTTGCACCAAACAGTTTGGTCAAAAATTGGCACATGGGACTATTGTGCAGGTCGTGGAGGCAGGTGTCTTTGCATCCAAAGACACGAATGAACGCTTTCTGAAAGTGCGATCACTCATAGACTTTACCAAGACTCTACGCTCCCAACTCATGGAGACTAGT